CGGCGAGTTGTACAGGTAACCATCATCAGAGTCGGTAGTGGAAGTGGCGGCGTACTACCCCTCTGTGGTGCTCAGGGGTCATCTTATTCACACTGAGGATAATATGAATCTGTTGATTGCTGAGGTGGTAGTGACGAGGAAGGATGGCAAACAGACTAGTTTGGAGCAGGTAGTATCCTGTTGGTGAGGTCTCGTTTTTAAGGGGTGGTGGTTGTTAGGCGTACATTCGTGGGTCTAAGATTCGTTACATAGTGGTACCGGATAACCTCCGGTATGCTCCTATGTTCAAGCCTAGGAGACAGGGCGCAGGTAGTGGGGTGGGCCGAGTCTTTGTGGAGTAACAATCGTACTGGGTAGGTTCTGGCTGGGGTAGCTTGAACGCTCCTGGGGCAAAGGGTGGCAAGGGTAAGGGTGGCAAGGGTGGCAAGGGCAAGGGCAGGTTCTAGAAGGGCCCTTAGCCTTGTTGACGTCGTACTATACAAGAAGATCAGCTGAGAGCAGATGGAGTCGGCGTAGTACTGTATCGCTGCTTTCCTGAGGTCATCAACTCCAGCGCCGCAGCGTGAGCGTTGTGTTTGTCAACGTGAGCACTTGGGAGGCTATCAGTTGTTATAGAAGTCTCGACCATGTCTGATCCCGATGAAGTTTATGATACCACCGGCCCAAGGGGAGGTGGGAGGGTCTATGGTAAGGCTGGGGCATTGTGGTTTAGGTGCTGATGGTGATGATAATGATGATAGCAGTTCTGGCGGCAAGTGGCGTGCCTTTGCTGATATCGTGAGGGCTTTGAGGTCGGCCCCCCGCTCTGTGTTATTGTTCCCATTGTAGGGCCCGTCCCTAACAGACCATTCGGATGCTTCAAAGGACCGTCCATGGGCTGAGGCTAGGGTCAGGGTTGGGCACCAGGATCGGGAGGGTTCGGTGTCAGCCGCTGACGCCCTGGACCAGGAGCTGGGTGAACTGCTTAACGAGATCTCGGAGCCTGTTGGGCATGGTCCTCCTACTGTGGCAACGTGTAACACTGCACTGCCCAACCTGGCACTGCAGCGGGTGGAACCGGAGTGCTCCTTTGAGGACATGGCGGACATGGCCGAGGCAGTGGCATTGTATGTCCAGCAGTTGACGAGGCGTTCTATGGCTGGTATTGTTGGTGGCGAGGTGGGGGTGTTGGAGGAGTCGGAGTCTGAGGACGTACAGTCGTACTCCTCGTCTTCGTCCTTGTCGAGTGAAAGCGTGGCTATTGATGACGATACTAGCAGTCAGTTGGAGGGGTCGGATGGGCCAGGCGATGCTGTGATTGAGGTCAGCAATGGAGCCTCGGGGGCCTCAGCGTTGCCTCCACTACCGTCCATGCCGCCCCCAGCTCGGCCAAAGAGTCAGGTAGTGTGCATGCGTGCAGGGGTAAGGGAGCTGTACTGCCTTCAGTTGGTGAGGGCAGCCTTTGGGTTCGATCCGCCCTCGAGGTCGTCCTGGCCCTGTGGGGACAGCCCGTCGCTGCATTTTCAAAGTGGGGATATTATAGAGGTTGGTGGAAGGCTAGGCTTAGGGGAGGATGGTGTGTGCTTAGGTCCTGATGGGTGATCAGATGGGATGGTCCTATGGCAGGGTGGTGACACGTGGTGGTGATAGCAGCATGGGTAGGTTCTTGGGTGTGTTGTCGGTCTGTTGTGAATCATTGGTAAGAAACGACTGGGGAGGCGACTGCTGGGT